GGATTTTTTTTTTTTTTTTTTTGTCCTTTTTGAGACCGGCCGCCGCACCGTGCTCAGCCAGTGAGCACTGTGAGCGCACCGGTCATCCCTATATAGGATCCGAACCCGCAGCGGGAGCGCTGCTGTGCTCCCAGTGCCACACTCTCCCAAGTGCGCCACGGGCTTGGCCCAGGATTTTTTGTTTTAATTGTAAGTTAGCTATCTTCAGCAAGATTGTATTCCATGGAGTTCTGAGTACCTGGGTTGTAGAGACATCTCTGTAAGGCAGTTTTCCAACTGCTTCTGCTTGGGACCCTAACAGTTCCATTGGTTTCAGACCACTGATTTTGGACCAATTTGTTTTGTTTTGTTTTGTTTTGTTTTGGCACGGCATAGGTACAGGGCTCTGCTTTTAAGCAGACAGCTTATTTGCTACACGGTCTAAAGTCACTGGATATGAGAGCCAGGATTATTTCATGGGCCTCAGACTCCATCTCAGGAAAGGCATTAAAACTGTGGGCCTATAACTGATTTTGACCCCCCTACGGACTTTTAATTTTTTTGTATCTGCTCACTATGCTAGATCTGAGTTTCTTTATTTCCGGTACCTGGGAATTTACCTTTTTAAGTTTTGAGTTCAACTATGAAAACTATTCTGATCAATGAAATATTATAAACCATATTTCTGTGTGTTTAGAACAGGAGAAAGAATTTCCTACATTAATTTCCCTTCACATATTGACTAAAAGTCTCATAACAGTATCTCTAACAGTGTGTTTCACTGGCAGCTGTTCAAGTATTACCAGGTTTACTGGGAACCACCTGGCACACTTGCCCCAGGTGATCATAAACACAGGGGAGACAGTTTAGATTCTTCCAAGGATACCAAGCATCTTGAGTGGATAATGCCACACACAAAAACACTGCTGGGGAAAAAGAAAAAAGAAAAAAACCCTAAACACTGAGTTTGGAGGGCAGGAGCAAACTACTATTTGAGAATAAGCCTTTAGAAGAGCTAAAAACATCTGTCATTGGTCCAAATTTTGGGCTTCCAATAGCTGAAGTACATGCAAAATTGCTATATTTATAAGGCTTCGATTCCTAGATAAATGCACTAAAGCTGTAAAACTGGTCACACTCATATAAGCCGATTCCTCCACTAGTTAGTACATTTTTGTCTGAGCCAACTGCACGGCATCCTGGGGCTTACTGTTTAAGGAGTTCAAGCGTAAGAGGTTGCCCGGACCAGATGATGGGTAACATCCATCATACCCTGACTTCTGTGATTCTGGAGGTAACACCTGGGTTAAATAATTTGGCTATGTCTTATATTTATGTTACATATACTTAATGAAATATGAAGCAAATATGGCAAAATGTTAACAATTATTAAAAGATCATAGGCACATTGGTATTCATTATACTAATCTCTACTTTCTACAAGAGCTTCAAAGTCTTCACATTAAAAAATTATAAAAATGGTTTAGCCATCTTAAAGTGGCTGAAATTTCCACCTATAAGTCAAAATGCTTTCAATATAATAAAAATGTTACAAACCAAAATCATAAGGTCCTCTAATAGTTCTCTTTCAAAAAGTTTTTGTTCTCTAGATAGGCAGCCTACCAGGCTACTAGCTTTCTAAAAAGTTAACATTTGGCTGTAACTAGGCAAACTTGGGAATGTAAGTTTTGAATAAGCATATTTTCTCACAACTTAAGCTATTACTTATTAACCAACTTCCAAAATAATTTAAAATAAGCAAAAATTTGCATTTTAAGTACGCAAAAATGCATATTTAAATGAAAATATCCCTAGCAATGTTACAAACTTTGTGTATTAATTTAATAAATAAATTTCCCAATAGATTTAGTAAATAGTTATCTAAATCCTCTGGAAAAGATGAGAGGTTTGGGCCGGCCCGGTGGCGCACTGCTACAGTGCGCCGCTTGGGAGCGCAGTGGCACTCCCACCGAGGGTTCGGATCCCACATACAGACCGGTTCCCACTCACTGGCTGAGTGAGGTGCGGGCGCAACACTGAGGGCTGCGATCCCGTTGCCGGTCCTGGTCTGGTACGGGCGCGACACTGAGGGTTGCGATCCGTTGCCGGACACGAAAAAAAGGAAAAAAAAAAAGATGAGAGGTTTTGTTTCTGGCTTCCTGTAGCTACATATAGTCTAGCTTTCAGTGATATAAATGGGACTAAATCTTGCAGAGATGCAAGCTCACTGTGTATTTTCTGCTGACAGACCTTTAAAGCAGAATCATGAAAACAAATCAATTAAAATTATTCTGAAATGTATTCACAGAATAAAGGCAGAGGACAAATGATGAAATACAGATTCTTAAGTATTACCATCAAAAAGCATCAATTTCTAGTACCACAGATCACTCTCTGTAGTGCTTTGCTATCTTTGCACACCATATTTACACAGCAGGCCATCGTATCACTTTTTCCTTCTGTTAACAACCACACACACTCAATAAGAAGTTGAGTTGGATTGGCTAGGATAACAAAGTAAATCAGAGTAGGGCAAAATATACAGCCTAATCAAAAAATAGGTCTACTATTATTTACCTGCCTTTAAAATGTGCTATGGAATCTGTTTTATGTAGGTCTGTAAAACATAGACTTCTAAAAGGAGGTTCACAATAAAAAAATGAGAACTGTCATGCCAAGAATAGGGAAATATTGAATATTTAATACTTTCTTCACCAGTCTCCTTAGCTAGGATAGCCTCCTTCAAATAAATCCTTATCATGTAATTCCACATGACTATCTGACAAAACAAAAAAATTGAAGCGAATTCAGATATGCGGCATATTAGAGAAATGTAAGATATGAAAACTGCTAACAGGTAATGCTCGCTCTTCAGGGGTAGTTATACTCTATCATTTAAAAAACATTCATCTAAAATTTCACATGATGCTGTTTTGAGTTATTTCACTAAGATTAATACTTGGTGACTCATTATATTTTTCCTTGCCAAGAAATCTCTGTAGTTTCATTTGGTTTTCCACATCTAGGTTGTCCTTCCTTTCTTGCCTTTATTTCATGAACATAATTTTTAAAAAATACCGATTCCTCTTCTTTCTTTTATTGAGAAATACCCATTTCATATTATTCCTTAATCTTCTTGTATTTGGTAACACCATTCTGTACTTGGAAAACTTTTATTGGTAATATTAGCCTTTTAAATATGCTCCTGGTCTCATATTGGAAATTAATACATGTTTCTTAATCACTGGATCAAAACCAGTGAAAAAGCAATAAATTGAGTTAAAAGACCAAAGCACTTTATCCTGTCAGAGTCCTCACTCAAGACCAGAAAAATCATCCTGAAACTCACCCTCCACCTCCAGAAGGAGGTTCTACATCATAACAAAAGAACTCAGAATGACCATTCCTCCCAACCACTCTCATTTCTTGAAACTTTTTGGAAATATTCAGACATCTGAAGAACATTTGGTTTTTCTATCATTCTTGTTTCAGAGACTACTGGCATTTGAAGAGAGCTAATTTGAAGCTATTTAGTTGTTATATGTTATAACTCTCTTCAAATGCCAATACTAGCCAAAAAATGTAATAAATTTTGCTAAAGAGTTGATCAATTTTTAAAACAAAAACTGCAAAAGCAAGCAATATAATTAGAAAAAAGCAAATGTTAACTCAAAAGGGATAAAAATAGTTTCTATAAAAAAATTGATTAAATTTTTTTTCTTTACAGATAGCACTCTTTCAGACAGATATTTTCAAGATTGCTTTGCTGAAGAGAGATACTATTTTTTAAAGGGTGGTATATGAAATTAAAATGTCAAGTAACTAATTGTTATATAATGACTCAAGAACAAGAAGCCTAATGGAAAAAGCTAGCATTTTTTAGGAGTGTACCCATTATGTGTAACAGGAAACTTGTACAGGGTAAAATTACTTAAACTATAATAAAGGCTTATAATTTAAATAAAAACATATACAAAACTGAAAGCGTGCTAAATATAATTTTAATGGCTAAGTTCTGAGATCTCTTTATAAACATTAAATAGTAGAAACTTCAGAAAATTTTTGAAGATGAAATTCAACAATATTTGGGTAAAAAAAATCATAAAAAATGTCTACGTATGGCTAAAATTAGATAACAAAACATGAGTGCAATCATTACAAAAGTTTATTCTGATTATTAAATCTTTCTTTAGTCTTTTAGCACCCAAATGAGTTTGCTTGTAATCATGAAAGTTTCTTTTTTTTCTTCAGTCCCAAAGTAAGTATTTTCGAAAATGTATTAGTCATAGTGTTATACAACTGTAATTTTGGGAGCAAAATAAAAAAAGGGCAGTTGCTCCTTTTTAAAATGTTATATTTATTATATATATTTTTAAAGTGTATAATTAAAAACTTTTTCCCAAGGGGTCTAAAAACATACAAAGAAATAAGACTATAATGTCAACACAATGTAATTCATATTCGTCTATTTAATCTACTGTATCCTTGGCCAAAGTATATGCAAAGTTGGCTCTTAGCTCTACCACCTAAATGCATATATATAAATGACCTTGAAGCAACGTGCATCTCATACCTTTAGTCTTAAAGGAGAAGTTACAGTAAGTGCAGTGGTAGGGGCGGACATCTGTATGGGTTCGTATGTGTTTCTTTAACATACTAGGTTTCTTACAACGTATTCCACATTCTTCACAAATGTACTTTCCTCTTCCCCTGCCTCGGACATATACATACTCTTCATTTGATTTATATCTAATTTAAAGAAAAAAAATGAATAGGGAGATTGGACACTATGTCTCTGAGACAATACTGATGATTAAAATTCAACCTAAGAATAAAACAAGGCACAACTTTTATACTCAACCAATAAAAATTTTATGCACATGTTAGTAACAGTATTTCAGCTTTTCACATTAACACTAAGTATTCTAATAGCTAATTCTAATCAAACAAACTTATCCAATATTATTATCCAAGATTACCCAAAATACGTTCCTGTTTCTAAGTCACTGGTTTAAGTTTTCTTCATCGCTTAATTCGATCATAACAATTGTAAGTACTGAAATATTTCTGAGCTTCACTGTAACTAAAAATAGCTTTTATACTTTGTTTTTCTCATAACAAAATACACAAGAACATCAAACAGGCAATGAATTCATTTCTTTCAGAGTAGATTTATCAAGTTATTCCTTATCGTAAATCAATGTGAAACCCAGGGTTCACTCTGAAAATTTAGTTCTTAGCTGCTCTCTAGGCCCTACAGTGTTTCCTAAATAGTCATCGTTTTCGCCATCGAAATGAAATAATTTAACATAATACTAACATATTCTGTCACAAAGATTCTACGGATAAGCTGAGAAACCTTGCAACATTTATATAAAATTGTCACTTATAAGTTTTCACTCACATGAAAGCAAATGTACATTTAAAAAGTAGGTTTAAATGTACATTTAAGAAGTAAAATTTGTACTTGCCCTCCATCAAATATTTTAATTCTTCTCGGTTCACTTTTGATTAAGGAATTTTCTTTATCTTGCTCACTGTTAATTTCAGAGGCATCTTTATTGCTGAATTCAACTACTGTGGACTTTTGATTACCTAATGCTCTCTGAAAGGAAAAAAAAAAGGAGAAACTAATTTAATAAAACTGAAAACACAAACATGCTAACGTTTCACTGGAAATTAAAACATGGCAGAGTATAGAGAATAGAGTTAACGTAATAAAATGCATTTTAAAGAAATAACAGGTTAAAAGCTCATTTGCTTTATTTCCTCCCTTATTAATCTGTCTAAACCACAGCAAACTGGTAAATCTTATACTATTTTAAAATCCCACCACTGTCTATTGACACCCCCCAAATATGGGCTTTACGACTTCCCATCTTGGTATTTCATGAGTTTAACAGGAACTTTTTTTTTTTTAGCAGAATAAATATTCTTTCTTATATTTAACCAACCACTCATACTACAGTTTAAATATAATTCTTAAAGAATTCATTCTTTGGAGATGAAAAAGAGCCAGTTACCCCTTTTGGTATATCCCCGAGAAACATCACTAATTCTCCTTCAATTCAAGTGCACTAGAGAGGTAAAGCAGAAGCCCCACTTTACCTCTTCCCCCCATTATTTTAAACCACGATTATGGTTCCTCTCTATATCTGCTCACGAGTTCCTTGCATACTGCTTTCCGTGAGATCCAGGTCATAATTAAATCTCTGGAGAAAGGAAGTGAGCATCAAAATGGTAAATGATGTGTGGTTTTTCTATAGGAACAATATAACTCCACCTTATGATTTTACGTGAGATTTTATACAACTGCACCATTAACAGTGCACTTTCTCACTACGCCATTTCATTCTTACATATCCTTGTGCGGCAGGCAACACAGGTGGATTACAAGGCCCAGTGAGGATGATGCTTTCAGGGTTAAGTGTCCAAGGTCAAGTGTTACCAACAAACACTCAACCTCCAGTCTTCTGGCTGAATCCAACACAAGGCACAACTTTTCTGACCAAGGGCTTCTTTTATGCAAACCCCCCTTAAAAAATTACATTGCCACATATACAGCCATCATACTGACATGACTTCATAATAGCAAGTGATCAGAGTGTGTGCATCATGGAGGAAGGGTCTGTGCAGCCTCAGAAAAGTACCCCAGGAAGCCCCTGTCCTTACAAAGGCAGGAGTAAAGAAAAGCTGCTGGCCCACATTCCTCGAAAGGTAGTGTGAACAGGTACTGACACTGACTGCTAGAGAGTAAAAATGCAACCATCTCCGCTTTTCCTGGCAAACAGATAAGGCTTCCCCACAATTCAGAACATAAGCGCATTACCTTTCCTCGACTTTATCCCTTAACAATAATCCACTTCCTTCTGTTCTTTTCAATATAAAATTCCCCTTTATCTTTTGCTCGCCAAAGTTGTCAATGAAGTAGATGCCAAAATCATTATCATTTCCTTAGCCTTTATATGCTTGACTACTATGTAGCATTATACAAGGGGTCTTCAAAAGTTCATGGAAAGATTTGTATTTTCTTTAAATTCTATTTTTCCATGAACTTTTTGAAGTATCTTCCTATGTTGTTGATGCCTTGTTTCTAACAAAGCAAAGCATCAACATCTATCCATTCTTTTCTGTTTTGATTCATAAATGCATTAACATTTGGGTTGTGATAAGTTAACCCAGTACACAGTCCTCCATAGGCACTTGCTCACAGACTCAAGTCTCCAGTGATGATAGAACTGCCCAAGCTAGATACTCCTATTTGCTTTCATCTTTATTTGACCTCTCTACTTTAACAATCCTCCTTGAAATATCTTTTTCCATGTTTTGTGATACCACTTTCTCTTGGTTTTCCTCTTGTCTCTATGGACAATCTCTTTCAGTTTCCTGTGTGGACTTTATCTATTCAACCCTTTAAACAGTAGTGATCTCCCTGAGCAATCTCATTCATTACACCTATGCACTGAAGAGACCCCATTCTACACACAGAGCTCTCTCTTGAGATTTAAAACTAGAAATTCATTTTCAGACATTTTTTCCAAGGCATTTGGTACTTAAGGACAGTCACTTTTCAGAGGCTGTTCAGGAATATACATGAAGCTCTGTTTAAATTCTCATGTTTAGGTTTCATCTCCAATATTTAGTAAATTTAGAATCTTGAGTATTTAAAAATCTAAATTTAATCTAAATTTAGTAAATTTAGAATCTTGAGTATTTAAAAAAAAATCCACAGGGGCGGCCCGGTGGCACACTGCTACAGTGCGCCGCTTGGGAGCGCGGTGGCGCTCCCACCGAGG